GCGTCATGTCTGTAGGTCACTTACTTGCATTTATTTTATTTTAGTCTAGTCTCCGAGTCTCAGTGGATATCATGTCACTATTTATATTCCTGTCTGGTCCGTATCTCCCCTATCTAGTCCATCACCCGAAAGCCGTACAACGTCGGTCTACTCGTGGTGTTTGAAGTTATACGTGCGGCTACACATGGGATGTATTTGTATCTTGGGGAGGAGGGAGCACGTATATGAGAATAGAGAATAGATAAGAACAGCGAGAGCCATAACAGTGTTGGACTTTATGGTCAGACTACCTACCTACCTACCTAGATGGTACACGCAATTCCAAGTTCCCCAGAGAAAAAAGGAGTGGTTAGTACCTAGCAAGCAGTGTATTTGACGGATAGGTTTTTACAAATAACTTACCTTGAAACTTACTTCTAGGTCGGTCGGTCTACATTTCTCTCCGCTTACCTTACCTTACCTTACCTTTACACCGCCGTCACGGGATGACACAGCGTACAAGGCTCCTCGGCCCAATCATACAAATACGAGATCCAATCGCGATGTTTCCTCAACTCCTCCTCCGCAACCCTCACCTTCTCCCTGCCCCTCTGCATCTCCGCCTGGGAATTTCTCCCATATCCCAACACGAGTTCTTCCCTCAACGCACGGGCATCTACGTCGAGACGATAGAGTTTCTCCCCCTCCACATACATCATCTTCCGCCAAGCGGCCGCGTGCTTGGCATTATGCGCAAAGCTGAAATCCAGCTCATCACTAGACATGCGACTGAGATTCCGCCATTCCGCGTCCTCGATGGCTTGTTTACCGTATATATGTTCTGCTTCGGGGCGTGTTAGTCCGAAATACGGCTGGTGTATGTGTTGGTGCTCGATCAGGTAGCCGGGACAGGGAGGTTGCTGAACGGTGGTGGTGGTGGTGGTGGTGGTGGTGGCGCAGTATATTTTTTCTACGCGCGGGATGCAACAGCTGTGATGTGCGCATCTGGAGGTAATATCATCATTGTCTTCTGCCTCTTCTTCTTCTTCTGTTGAGGGTGGATGTGGAGGTGGAGGTGGAGGTGGAGGAGGGGCGTCGAGTTCGCAGTAGTGACGGCTGGTGCGGAGGGGGTTTGCGTAGATACGTGGCTCGGGATCGAATGCGTCTATTATCATGGGGGTGGCTATGTCGTGGTGCATGTAGTGCTTTATGATCTTTCGACACATGTTTGTTTTCGTTTGTTTGGGGGATGTGTTATGTTGGTTTACTTACCTTTAGTGATGATCTGAAGAATAATGCCGTGTCGAGCCTGTGGTTATTGGTTTGTGTGAACCGAGACCTAATAGACCGGACGAGGGAGAGGAGCCCCCTTTTATACAGAGGAGCAAGAATAACAGGCGACATGGTCTTGAATATCGAAACAAAGGGGGATCTTCATCCTAGCTACAACAATAGCCTTTGTTGATAGTCATCCTTGTTGAGAATTGAAAGACATTGTTCTTGGTCAAGGTTCAAAGAAATAAAAACAGGCTTGCCTCCAAACTTGGGCTTTGTAAGGCGAATGAAAAGCCTCGTCATCTATTTTCCCTCTCGACTCGCCGATGGTGGATCCGTAACTGCCTAGAGGAGAGTTATAGAGATAGGTAGTCAGCAAAAAAGCCGAGTGGATAATACTGTCCTAGGATGGTTTCGATCAAACCTCGGGCTCTGAACCCTCGGCTGTCTCTCTACCTAGGAGACAAGTTATTACCCACCTTGTATGCATTGGAGCGAGTGCGTCTCCTGACGACCGGAATACATGAAGAAAATTCTCAACTAGTAAATATAGTGAGTAAGTATCATATGGATCGAAGAAGAAGAACGCGAATAGAAGAGGAGAAGAAAGGACGAAAGAAAGAACCGAGATGTATTGTTTATATACATGTATACTCTATGGCCGAAATCTAGGTTCGTCTATGCTTCTAAATGTGACTCATTCCATGCTGTCTCAAGGGTTATGATTGGTAAAATGCCGTAAAGATGACACCGCGCATGGTTCTTTCCTTCTCCGTCTTTCCAACTACTTCTCCTGTCGATTAAAGCTTTGACTGTTTGTTGGTCCAAGCCACTGTCACGTACATGGGTATGACCTTGCTGCTCAAGTGATGACAAGGTAATGCTAAGGCCAACGGGTTAATCCTGCGGGGGGGGTTGATATTCCAAATGTGCTAGATGGGACTTAGGTAGCAGTAACCAGTCCGATGAAATACATACGCGTACTTTAGCTATTTGAGGGATTCCCAAGTCCAAGTACGGCAGGCCTCTGGAAATGGGACCATCTGTTTACATGTGTTAATCATGCGGGGTGCCAAAAAGGGGTCGCAACCGGCGTATTACACGTACTCCCAACACGAAAAACAAGGTTCTTCTGTTCGTGGCAAAAGTACTGATACTAACTACTTATATACGGATGTCGTAAACTATATACGAGTGAAGAAAGAGCGCCAATAGACTTGTAGGGCGATTATCAAAGCACCCACCTATTGCCTTGGCAAACTGGTCAAGGCCGGGAACATTTACAGCCTAACAAGGACTCATACCGGCGGCGCTTCCAGCATCCTCAGGGATGATGCCTGCCGCCACGGCACTCTGATAGCACCATCGCCACTCGTCAAAACCGGAAATCCAGTTGCATTTCCACGACCAGAACACCCAGCCACCGGAGCGCTCGAATGCCTGTACCTGCGCAGCAAAGTACTTCTTGTACCAGTCGTTGTTGGCGTCCGTGTCACGGATGTTGAACTCGTCATTGTATTGTGAGTCGTCCGCCACCGAGAGCGACCACTCTCCGATGATAATATCATCCCCGCCTCTGTTATCGTTACAGGCAGCCGAAATATAGCCATCCTGGCTTTGCTCGACCGAGGTGTCCCACTTGTAGTAGCGATGGTCGTCGTAGAATGCAAACGTGGTGTCTGGCAAGTTTTCGCTGGGGTTGCCGGATCCCCAAGCTTGGCCCTGTTGAAATCAAAAACATTAGTTTCCACTTCATAGCTAACTCTCCCTCCAATAAATCATACCATGAATTGGATGTGAATCTTGTCGGCATCAGCAACATTTAACTGGGATTCCCGGTCGCGGATCCGGCTCCAGGCATTGGGATAGTAGTTGGCGATCATATCGGCCGCCTCTGATCCGTAGTCGCCAGCGTGTACCGGCTCGTTTATCACCTGCATCATACCAACGTTGAAGTATGCTGGGTTGGTATGGACTCGTTCGGTCATCCATTCTAAGAACTTGTATGCACGTTCATAGTTATCCGCCGTGTAGAAGCCGGGCGAGCTGACGCCATGACCGGTGTATTGCTGGTTCGGAAACTGAACACCGGGTCCGCCGTGTAGATCCATGATGACGTACAGACCCAGGTCGGTACAGTTACCGACAACGTAGTCCAGGTACTCCAGACCGCCTCTGGGGTAGTGTTCGTCCTCATTCACAAGGTCCTCCTCGATCCAGAACCCCACCGGGATCCGGACGGTGTTCAGGCCGTAGCTTTTAATCTGCTCGAGGTCGTCGGTATTAATCCAAGTCTGCCAGTGGGTCCGGAAAGCCGCGTCGGCGGCGTCTTGGCCAAGCTTTTCAACGCAAGTCCATTCGTCGTTGCTGTCTCCGCAGCCCATGCTCTGCCATTCATCGCCCGCCATCCACGGCTCGATGATGAACTGCGAGCCTAGGTTAACGCCCCTGATCTTATCTGACTCGGGAAGCCATCGTTTGCCGGCATTCACGGTCTTCTTTGGGGCGAGTGACGCTATGAGCTGAGCACATTAGTGGATTGGGAGCAGCAATAACGTTCAGGGGCAGCTCACGCCTCGATTCGACGAGGGAAGGGGCCGACATAGCCAAGGCCACCGAGGTGATCGATTTGAACAACATCCTGGAAGAAGTTGCTCCGGCCAATATGAATCGTGTATATGAATAGATTATCTTGCATGGAACAAGACGTCAAGCCGAGTAGAACGTGGCGAGGGATCCGTCGTGGAAGAGCAATAAATCGGGTATACGATTATATATACCATGACTCCATCCAAGGAGTAGCCGTCGTCGTCGGCCGTTCGATCCTATGGTAAGTCGCTGCGATGTGAGAAAGTTGCTATGCTCAGCTCTCTCGGCCATCCTATCGACCTCCCTCATGCGGCCAGAAGCCGGGCGATCCCAACTCCACATAGGCATCACATACCTATTTCTGTACTCGACAGGTAGTATTGCGGTAAGCCGAGAACCATGTTATGGCATCCTTCCCGTGCCAGGGGATGGACATACGTCTTTCAAGTCCTGGGCGCACTTTAGCCGTTGTATGTCAGAGCCGTCATCTTCCGTCGTCGGGATAGATGTAAGGGGCGTTAATTGATATGATCTGCGCGGTATATAACGTAGGGCTGGCGCCAGCCAGAGGAGACTTGAGTCGCAAATTCATCTTCTCATCGTAATGGCGATGAATAAGCTTATTCTTGGGGAAGGTATGATAGACACCCAAGTAACCCTTCTACTTGATTCTCCACGAACCACGGTAGCTCTGTTCTCGGCAAGCACGTCCCAGTCTCGTCTTTACTCGTATAGCAGGCGAAACGTTACCATTGCCATCATCGCGACTGTTTTTCCCGCCTTGATCAAAGAGCTAGATAACATACACTCGTATTCGTCATGTTTTGAGATAGGGTTTCCTTCACAAGAAAGTTATCTCACAACATAAAGAAAGATGTTTAGTTGCGAGGGTGCATTTAAGTTTATAGTTAGCCTCTTTAGGAATATTGTATTTAGTAAGCCGTAATATTGCATATAAGAGGAATAGCAACTAGAAAAGGCATTTTTGTGAGGAAAGTCTACGAGAATACCAACATGTCCTATCGGCTCTAGAACCAAACAACGACCGAAAATCAGCTGTACTTTGCAAGTAAACATGTTACTTAAAAAAAGATATAGATGACGTGATCAGGATTAGAATGTCGTGGGATACTTACAAATGTCCAAAAAGAAATCTTTGCCCACTACTGGAGTCGAACCAGTTACCTCCTCATTACTAGTGAGGCGCTCTACCGATGAGCCAAGCGGGCTTTGTTTCTGAGATTCTGTTTGTTAATTGGGATCATGACATCGCCAGGCAAACCCGGCCGTGAAGGCTGTGGACGTTAATGTTCAAGTTCCGCTGCCCGCCGTGTCTTTAAAGTATCGAATCATTCGTCTTGTCAGGCTTTATCCTTTACATATCTCCGGAGCAGTAATGATGATCTGCTAGCAAGCTAGCAACACCGTAAAGACCATCGCGTGACGTCGGCCAGCTGCGTCGTGGCCCGATACATGAGAACTAGATCCTGAGCGATGAACATGGCCTTAGTACCGGGACGACTTGTCTGTACCGATCCCGAACCTGCATCGGAGTATAAGCCGGCGTATGGGCCTAGCAAGAGCCGGGGGCAGAATGTGGCCGGAGTCATCGTCCGCCTCCACCATTATGTCCACTTCAAAGCAGTCGTGCGGGTGCCCAACAACGATCTCTACGGCTTCTTGCCCCACGTTTGCCCAGGCCTCGCCCGACATACCCCAAGCAACTCCCGGCTTGCGCTAGGAAGCCATATACGAGACAGCGAACGGTGACAGAAGATTTGCCGAGGTACCTAATGAACATGATGGTTTCATGGCGTGTCGCGGTCCCTAGATGTATTTATTGTTTTCACTATCATTTTTTCCAAACACACGCGCGGTAGCAGGAAGAATTGCGTTAACATCTGCTACTGTTGTGAGCGTTGAGGGTCATGTTCCGAATAGCTGGCCTAGGTTGGTTGGTTATATCCTCAACGTAGCTATATAAACCATCAATGATATCAGCAGTATGGCTAGTCCAAAAATGAGTACACCCCCATAGTAGGTATGCATGCACTTCTATATAGTTCCTGGTCAGACCTTCCCCTTTTGCGCTCCACCCTATCATCCTCCTTCTACCAAGCCTGCGACTTCCTAGTCTCCCATTTCCAAGAGGTTTGATTGCCATTTCTTAGACTTCGCCTTCCTACTCCTTGACACACGAAATGTTGATTCGCATTCCGGAATGGCGAGGATACCCGAATTGCACAGATCGAGACCCTCGTAATGACAAGGCAGTGGTCAACGAGAATTTGCCGAGGCAAGTCCCACGCAAAATCGGCGAAGACGGCGGGCCATACCCGGGTGGAGGCTTTCATCACATCGCACTCGTATACCTCGAGGGAAATTCTGTGGGTGGCTAAGGCTTCCATGCGGTCAATCCGCAAAGGTAAATCTTAAACAACAATAAGTTTCTCGCAATCTCCCAACGAGATACCTACATCCAAACTCTCTGAGACCGGCCCGAAGTTTGGGGCTCCCTTTTGCTTCTGTTTGTGCATAAAGAACATCTGCCCCTCCCCGCTTGATAGAAGAACTATTATAGGAAGAACACACAAACAAAAAAGCAGGCTCCCGCCCTATCTCCGGCCTTACGTAGGTGCTTAGGTAACAACACTCGGGACCTTGCACCTATCTAGGCCGGAAGAAGAAGTAACAGACGAACCACCGACGTACCCGCCAACAACGACCTCACCTTTGACTAACTCCTGAATGAATTCCAAGTGCCCGGTGGTGTATAGATAACTACTTCTGTAGGTGTGCCAGGACGATCTACCTACCAACATCACCACCCAGAGCCGCACGAACTGAAAAGAGGCAAGAAAAGGTAGGGGGTAAGGTTATGTCATTGTACGACCACGACACGCGCACCTACCCGTTTCAATTGATTATATTTGTGTCTACTGCGTCGATCAGGCACCTAGACATAGTAAAAAACGTATTCAGGCAGCAAGCCATTAATGTGCCCTCCAAGTCTTATGCTCAATATTCGTTTCACAATACACATATGTAGGGCGCATTCCGCTTGCAGGTTACGCCGCATCACATACCTACTCGTAGGTACCTAACAAATCTTCAAACCTTAATAATCATCCTATTTCTTTCCTTATGTGCTTGCCCGGAAGCTAACAAGCGAGAAGATAGGGCTTACAAATCCACGGCCGTGAATCGAGGGAAAGTCTACCTATACTGCCGACTCGCTAAAACTGGGAGGTTTCACAACAGTGTCTTGTAACCATTAGATAATGCACCTGATACAGCCGGTTCCATCTAAATAAGAAGTCTGTTTACCCCCCCTCACTAGGAGGTAGGTACGGAGGTATATAAACCTGCGAGAGTCCTACGACATAGATACTAAATTCGTGTCCGGTCTTCAGAGTAGTAGGTTGTACGCATTGTCAGACAACTGTCCCAATATCATCATAGGGAATAGATATACGGATGACTACCTCGATCTAGCACGTACATGAATCCAGACCGAATCGTCTTTTTCTAATCCACAACCCACGTGGAACTTTGCTGCCATCCTCCCGCCCCCCTTTTTTTCTATCGTAGGTGTAAGATGGGTAGGTAGGTAAGGTAGGTTACCTGATTAGTTCAAGGTTGCGTGCGATAATAGATCTTTACTCCAACTCAACCACATGACGTACATACTATAATCAATCAAACCCAACGGTTACCTATAGCGGATGAATTACTCGTAATTGGCCTCCAACACGAAAGATAAGCGAGACCGGGACCGGGACCGAAGAAATAAGGCTGTGGTCAACTACTTACCTACATCGTCACCGACTATGCTGCCTGGGCGGCCGCACTCGGGGCTTAGTAGCAAGGGCTATGTTCGTTGCCTACCATACGAACACTGCGATGAGGCTGGGTACCTACTTTACATACGAGTAGGTTGTAGTTACAGTTACAGTTACACCGAGCCTAACAATGGGTTGGGCGATGCTAGAAAACACTTTTGAAAGATGATGATGGGAATGTTTTCGATCAAGTATATAATTTACTTTAATTAAATGAAGCTCGTTTGTCAATCATCACGTAAGGCGTGCATATCAAGATTACTTGACGGCCTATAATTAACCCATCGCACTGCCCAATGTACACGTACGAGTAATAAAGTGGTTGGGTGTTGTTGGGAATGAGGAGTGGGAGGGGGATGTACATTACACGGGCGGGAGAGATACATTCGACTACCTACTATGTAACATGGATCCAATAATCATGCATGTTGGTAAGTACAGGTTGCAGTTGGCAAAACCAACCGACCCAGGAGAAGAGAGATATCACCAACTTATATGTATACAAGTTGAAAAAGGGAAGAAACTAACCTGCATCTTGGAATTACTATGCTAGGTTAAAAGGCAAAGAACTGACTTGAGTATAAAGTCAACGTAAGCAACACACAAGGGCTAGACCAAGGACTAGGTTAGGTAGGTTAGATCCAACGACTCTTTCCGACCACGAGGGAAAAAGAAGGAAGGGATAGGAGGAAGAAGGAATGAGATCTTTCTGCATGTCTGCGGCCCTGTTTTCTTTCCCTCCCTCCCTTCACTACCTACGTCTATAATAGCCCAATCACCCACCCAACCCCTCCTTTTTACTTACCTAATACATAATACACGGCGCAGCCCGAAAAGAAGAAGAAAGAAAGAAAGGATATAATTTAATCATAGTAACCGATGTTACCGCACCTTGAACCGTTTTTGGAGGGAGTTTTTTTAAGCCACACACACACACACAGAGAATTCTCACCTATAATAATAAAAACCAAGCTGTGTGTGATGGGCTGGCTGGCTGAATGGCCGAGCTGTGATTATGCAGAAAGAGGGGAAGGGAAAGAAATGGTTGGTTGGTTGGTTGGTTGGTTGGTAAGAGGGGTCGCGGTCGGGTTGAGAGAGGGGAAAGGGAAATGGGGGCTGACGCTTCTTTTTCCCTTTTGATTCTTGGATTTTTCTGTCGCCAGCTCGGGCTGGGTTTAACGGATATCCTATCATTTCTAACCTACACACTTACTTTGTATCTAGATTACTCGTAGTATAGGAAAACGTGAAATGGTAGCAGGGTTGAAAATTATAAGAAAAACACGCAGCTAACGAGAACTTACCGGTACCTATTCTAATCACGACTCTAGATCGCTTCTTGCTTGCATAAGTAAGCACTTATTTCGGTATATACTATACCATATATCTAGAATATCAAGAGAGAAAGAGAGAAGAAGTAGGTAATAAATAAAAACCTCCGCTTGATAGACGCACATAACCTTTAAAAAGATTATTTATTTGAATAGCCTAATTGGCTAAAGAGGAAAAAGAATTCAAGTAGATTTCCTTCCTGTCGTGCTCAATGAACAGCTAGCTGCATGCGTCAGTCCGTGACGGGACCGCCGAATATAGAAGCGGGAGCCAACGGCAAACTAGTACGAGTAGTCAGTCAGCTTATAGGACATGACTAACCTAAACCTAAAGGAAGCAGTTCAAAATGTCAAAGCGGTTCTTTTAGATAGATCCTTCCGGATGGCGTACCTATACTATACTATAAACTTGATCTACGCACATGCAAAAAAAAAAAAAAAAAAAAAAAAAAAGCTTGGCCATGTTGCTTATTTCTTCTTGTCTTGTCTTGAACAAAAGATATAGCCAAGACGGGAATAGGTAGGTATAGACTACCTACTGCACATTGTAGAGTACTGACAGGCAGTACTCGTAGGAATGATGGTAACTAACCAAATCGGCTACCTTTCCCACTGAGAACCTTTCCAACAACGGAAGGAGGGGGAGAAAGGGAAAAGGAAAAGGGAATGGGGAAGAAATTGATAGGAAGTTTGAACCCGAATAATTCAATCCAATCCACATGCATATCTCGTACCGTTACATTTTATGCTTCTCCTCTCACATGTGCTTAGCAAACAAGCTGCATATTTGTTACTATTTTGAATTTTGTGACGTTGGACTATAGCGCGTGTGGCTTGGTAATGTAACAGAAACAATTGCTTTTTTTTCTCTTTCCCTACCAGACTAGAATGAATATCCTCTGTTGCCCTGTCACATCACACGCGGCATGTACTATGCTAAGGCTACGTACTATAGCGGGAAAATGTGTTTTTGGAGAACGGTTTTATTTGAAAAGAAGCGTTGTCCTAAAAAGAAGCGTTGCTAAAAACATGCGTTGCCGGCCAAAAGCGACTAAG